AATCCTATCTGCAATGGGTGTGGAAGGAATTATTACAGGCCAGGGATTTTTGCAAAGTGAATTAAGTCACTATAAAAACTGACCATGTTGCTTCACAATTAATAGTCTGGTAGAATGAACTGCCATTATTCCACAGCTTGCTAAGCCTTAAAAAGAGATTACTGCTCACATGTCTCTACTGGGAATGTTTTTATAAACTCCCAAAATGTTTTAGAAATTTTTTAATGATAAATGCTGCAGGCCTTTTTCATGAGTGCTATTATCTATTAACTGCTCCTTTATCTAAAACAATTCTTATACGAGAAAGACTCCAATGAAGCTTTTTGAAAATAGCCACATGTTCATAGAAGAAAGGAGATTTCAGCTAGCAGTCCCTTATAATTAATAAGCACTTGAAATGCAATGTCTGTTTTATCCTCTCTATAAAATGTTTTATGATGGCTTTTGGGGGACGTTTTGAGTCTAGTTATTTTTTCATACCATTCTTTTGGAGCCGGCAGAACACAGAAACGCACGTGTGGGATATCTATATCTCCGCAAGTCTAGACTCACTCGGTATCCGGCTATTTCGAGTCCACGTTCAGCGTTTTTAACCCCTGTGACGCTTCCTTTTCTTCATCTCTGTGATTCCTGGCCACGCGTCTCGGTATGTCTGGCTAATCTTCCTGATATTTCTGGGGCATAAATGGACTCAGAATATCTGACTGAGAAACAATCAGATAGGAATATAGTTCTGCACTTATTTTTTTCTACATAAAAGAAGATTTTCTTTTATTGATATGGAAATGAACAGATGTCTGATAACCTTTCGCCAACCCGGAGCTTTCCCGCTTACTCCGGGGAATTCTGGCAGACTGATGTTTCGTGGGGCCTGCCCAGTCCATTCAAAAGTTCTGTCACGGATATCAGAATGATCTAGGCTAGCCCCAAATCCAGCGATTCGTTCCTTGGCCCCTATTTCTGGCTCAGTACCTCGACTGTCTATGAAACAGGAAGGACACTCTTGCCATGGGACATGAAATGGTTTTGTATTCACACACTGGAAAACTACAGCGGGTAAAAGGGCCATTCTCACGTGAAATCCCAACACTTTACACATCCACGCTCTTTTATCTGTCCACTTCCACTCACCAGTACCAAAAGAGAGATGATACAAACCCAGTAAGTACTTTTCGTACCAATCGAGGTAATAAAAGTCAACCTGAGTGTTTTACAATCCGCCACCAAGCACAAACCTCTACTCACCAGGTAAACTGCTATTGGAAAGCATGAACCCCAGCGTACCAGCAACAGAGCTATGGGAGCTCACGGCTGTCACTTCCACACGCCAGTCTTGAAATAGCCAACAACAAACTGTTTTATTATTAAATCTGCCTCCAGGCTCCATGTCTTTCCAGAAAGCTCAGACTCAACGCATGGAAAACCAAACTCATTATCCCTCTCTCTGAGCTCCTTCCAATTCCATGTCTCCTCCTACTTCTTACCTCAGCCAACACGATCACCACCTACTCAGTTATATCCAAATCACGTCATCTTCCACCATGAAGCCCTACCCTCTGGGGGAGTGCTCAGAATAGGCTGATTCTTCTCGGGCCATCAGAGCCAGTCACCAGCTCCTGGGACCAATCAGATACACCTGCCTGGGCTCTCCAGTCCTTTACCTCCCCTCCTTAACCCACTGTTCCAAAGACAAAATGGGGGGCATTCAACAGGGCTTGCTGCCCACCAACAGGCAGTGTGAGAACTCATACGGCAGCATATTTAGAAAACATACAGATGAAATTACAAACTGACAGGGGTAATACCTTGAAAGAAAAACGGGCCGGGCACAGTGGCTCATGGCTGTGATCCCAGCACTTTGCGAGGCTGAGGTGGGGGAACCACCTGAGGTCGGGAGTTTGAGACCAGCCTGACCAACATGGAGAAACCCTGTCTCTACGAAAAATACCGTTAGCCAGGCGTGGTGGCGCATGCCTGTAATCCCAGCTACTTGGGAGGCTGAGGCAGGAGAATCACTTGAACCTGGGAGGAGGAGGTTTCAGTGAGATAAGATCACACCATTGCACTCCAGCCTGGACAACAAGAGTGAAATCCCATCAGAAAAGAAGGAAGCAAAGAAGGAAAGGGAAAGTAAAGAAATCTATATCTTAAATTCTGTGAAACATAAATCTAACAGAATCTTAGCTAATTAATAACCATCAACCCTCACATCTTTCTCTAAAGAAAGAAAGCACTTTTCAAACCTTACCTTAGATCATTTTAATGACATTTGAACAGTCTGAATCATTTTTTCCTTGGCATATTAATAGGAAAGTTAAAAAGTAGGAATGTCACAAAATAAATCAGCGGTAAAGGAAGAACTAAAACCAAACCCATCCTAAAATAATAAGGTTCCTGGATGTGCTATTCTGCTTTTGACTTTTAAATACCTACGTAGGAGACATTTAATACCACCTAGTAGAATTTAACACTCTATTTAAGAAAATATTTCCCAAATGCAGGTAAGCATCTTAAGCAAATTACAAAGATGATTTTTGTTAATTACCCTTCAAAAACACGTCTTGATCTTCCAGACTCTCTTCAGAGCGAACTGCATGTTGGAGTCTCTTGTTCTAATGAAACTTAACTCCTTCTGTGCCTGAGGGCTATAGTGGTCCACAGTTTTGTTCATTAATTTTGCCCCGGAAGAAGAAAAGCCTTGTCCACATTAGATGGCCTCCATAGGTGGTGCACCAGTGAGCATGGCAACTGCTTGGCTACAATGCTGCAAACACTAAAGGTATAATGGAAATTGTACCTAATTGCAAGGTACAAATGCCCTAAACACACACACACACACACACACACACACACACACACTCCTATTCACAAAGACTTGCAAAAATTTTGTAATTAAAATTGAGGCCCCCAACCTCATTACTAACAAGGAGCTGAGTCAAAGCATCCTTCTTCCTGGCTGAGCCTGTATGTGCTCTTGTACCAAATGCCATGCTTTACTGTGCTGCTTTGCACATAAAACTCAGGCATCTGTGGTACTGTGTGGCATTCACGTATGCACTTACAGTGATCCCGTGACTGCCGCATGACTACCAGCTCTTCTCTAGATGTCTACGTCACTGTAGAGCATGGGAGTTCAGCAAGTCCAGTGTTTCTTCCAGAGCTGTCACCTCACTCTGACAATACAAGCAGTTTACCCACAAGAGTTTTACCTCATCACATACATAAAACAGGCAAATATATTGAGCTTCCTCCCACAACACTGAGTGAATGTTCCAGGCTGTTTCTACAAAAACATAATCCCAGTTGAGCACAAGCCTCCATAAAACGCGATGGATGCATATGAGCTTCCACGTTTGTGTCTTCTTCCTATGGATTTTCCTTCCCCTCCTCTTTTTCTTACTGAGAACAGCGTATTTTGATTTACCTTTGCATCTAGGAACACTCAGTGCCACAAAAATCCTATTATAAAAATGAGTCCTTCATAAAGCTCTAAAATAATGTGGAAGGCTGCAACGTATTAGGACTGCCAAGTATCAGCTGTTAGCTCTTTAAGAGCCAAGGCCCTTCTAGCTTTATCAGATGCTCCCTTCCAGTTCAACAACCTCACAGCACCCTACGTCCCCTCCACACATGTGAATACGTTGTGAACTGTGCACGCTGTGGTCCATCTCTGCCTCCTCCGCTAGAACATCAGCTCCACGTGGACAAGGACTGCAGGCATGGACCTGGTATTTTTATCGCTGTGCCTTACACAGTGCCTCGGATGGGGGAGAAAAATCAATGAATATTGATGAAGGATCACAAGAGCAAATAAATCTGTGAGTGAAGAAATGGTGTCAAATCGGAAGGTCTAGCACGCAACAGCAAAATAAGCTGTTTGATTCCCTGAGATTTATCCTTGGGATGTCATGGCAGATTTATCAAACTACAAAAACGGTACACGGACAACCACCCACGAGCTCATTCTCCTCCAGATAAGCTGTGCATTCATAAAACCAATTCTCCTAGTGGTAGTTTTCCCCATTTTAAATTTCACCACGTCTGTGGGCATTTGTTTAATCCTTGCCTATGAAAGCATCAGCGTGTGTATGTGCGTACGCGCTGGAGGCCAGCAGACGCAGTTCTTTCTGAACGCCACTATTCGAAATCACAAGATTTTATTTCTAAAGTCACGGAAATAGAAACCAGAAACGGCCACTGAGCCAACAGTGTCGGAAACCTCTATGGCAATCCACTGTTTCCTCGATATTGCTCTCTAACCACTGATAAAAACTCTTTGAAGTGGAAGAGTAAATATTACCATTTGATAGTACGGGCCGACAGTGCAAATACAATTGCATTGTGTTACCCTCTGGGGGCTCGGGCCAGGCACACACCGCGCGGGGTTGCTATGGAGCAGCGACGGTGCTCGGCGAGGAGCAGGCCAGGAAGGGAGCACCGCTCCGAGGCGCGACCCACCTCCGGATCTTCCCCAGCGCGCACAGGCACTGCAGGGGAGAATGCTGGCTTTCCAGTATGTTTCTGTTTCTGCAATCCTGGAAAGGATGGACCTCAACAGACAGTGGGAAACGCCAGCTCCAAGCATCAGCTTGCTTTTCCAGCTCCCACTGACGTTTTTGTCAAGGATCACAGGTGGGGGTGGGGAGGACAATCGAAAGCGCAGTCTGCAGTCGCGAGGGAGAGCTGGGAGGGGCAGCAGGAGACACCACCCGGGGGCCTCCCCGCGTGGGCCGTGATGCCTGTGGCCACGGGCGCTCTTTCGCGCTCTCGGGACTCGGCCCTCCGGCCCTAGGGCGGCCTGCCTGGGGAAGGAAGGTGCGGGGGTCGTCCCGCGAGCCGGAGCCCCCTAGGGTGAGGAGCAGCCCCCTGCGCCGCCGGGGGCCCTCGCGTGGAGCCGAGGCGCAGGGTCGCGTTGGACTGAGCAGCTGCTGTCGGCCGCGGCCAGGGCCTCCCGGCGCCTCCCCAGCCCCGGGGCCGCCCACCCTGCGCGCCGCGCTCACCTTGCCGGGGAAGGGCCCCGGGAGGAGCAGCTTCAGGGCCTGCCTCTTGAGCTCCACCAGGCGGGCGTTGCAGTTCTCGCACCAGACGCCGCGGTCCGAGCCGGGGGAGGAGCCGCCGCCGCTGCCGGAGCCCGGGGAGCCCGTGCCGAAGCCCGGCGATCCGCCCAGGGAGCCCGGAGAACTCGTGCCGATGCCCGGGGAGGCGGGGCCCGGGGAACCGGTGAAGGAGCTCGGGGACGAGGTGCCCGAGCCGGGGGACGGGGTCCCCGATGAGCCCAGCGCGGAGCCCGCGCCCTCGGGAGTGGGCCGGCTCCCGGCGCGCGACTCCTCGTAGGCTTTCCGGTACCAGCTCTCGGGGGAGAAGGGCGCTGCGGGCTTGGTGGGCGAGCCGACTTCATTCACCTGCGGGGAGCACGCGCCGGGGTCAGGCGCCGCGAGGCGGTGGGTTCCAGCGCCCAGGGGCCGGGCCCCGCGGGCTGGGGCGCCCTCATGCCAGCTGGGTAGCGCCACCGAGTCCCCGCTCCAACCGCCCACGGGAGCCGCTTGGGGACCTCGCCAAGCCCTGCGGCCAGATCGTCCTCCCTCTGTCTCGTTAATTGTCCCCAAGTGAGTCCCCACCGCCCGGGCGACCCCTGCGCCGGTTCCCGGGCGCCGGTGGCCTCCTCCTGGGGTCAGGAAGAGGACTTGATGGGGGGTTTCCACGGCTTCTGCCAGGGGGCCCCATAGGTTCAGCACCCCACGCTTTTGAAGCCGTCATCCATCCCAGCAAAATCCCAGGTACGAAATCCTGGAAGACCCTATGGGGGGCGGGCGGTGGAGCTGGGGCCGTAATTTCAGAATTTTTATTCATACGGGGTACCACCCTGCGGATCCTGCAGGTAAATGAGGGGCTCCCCCGGCTCCAGCTAAACGATCCGAGGTCCCGCCGAGCGTTCACGGGGAATCCTCCCCTTCCGCTTAACTCTGCCTAAAAGTGCAGGAATGCTGCAAAAGTTGCGGGTGCGGGGAAAGGACGGAACGAGAGGGCTGGAAACATTCCGAGGGCGAGGCGAGTGTGCGGACGCCCCCCCGGCAGACCCGCCTCCGTGCACGCACAGCCCCGCGGGCCGCGGGGGCTCCTCTGCAGCGGGAGAGAGCTCGGGGCCGCGCCGCCCTGCCGGGGTGCACGATCCCGGGAAAAGGGGGACCCCCACGGAGACAGGTCTAGTCACGCGTCTCCGCGTCGTACCGTCACGACTTACCCCGTATTTCTTGCCCCTGGTGGAGACGGCAAGCCTCTCTTTATTCCCAGCGACCGAATTCATGGTGGCTTCTGCAGAGGAGAGCAGCTAAAGGTTCCACCAACGCTACATCCAGAAGGTCTTCCAGCCCAGAAGCGCCCCCCGGCTGCAGGGGGCTGGCTCTTAGCCCTCAAGTCGGGGTTTCTTAAGGGGTGGGGTGGGAGGGAATGAAAGCAAATGGACCCCACAAGGAATAGCACCAATTTGCAGAAAGGGTCGGGGTGGCTGGTTTATTCTTCTCTTCAAATAATGCTTTTCCTCGTCCCCTTCTGCCTCTTGCAGTCGCACGTTCCCTTTTCACGGTCACATCCATATAATTGGCATTTTCTGCAGCCAAGTCGGTCCGTTCCCCCCACGAGGGAGGAGAGGGACACAATCAGGGCACGCGGCAGCTGCAGGAGGGTGGGCGAGCCCTCCGAGCCGAGCCGAGCCGGCTGCGGGAACTTGCCTCCTTCCCCGAGCTTGCTAACTGAGTTCAAAGAAATTCTCCCAAAATATAAAGATCCAGACTCGGGGAGGAGCCTCAGCGTGTCGCCGAGCCAATATCCGCCGGCCCGTTTCGCCTGACAGTTGCGCGAGGGCAGGGAGAGGGGCGGCTCCGCGTGGCCCGGGAGCGGCCGGCGGTCAGGGCGCCCGTGTGCGCCTGGGCGCAGCGCGGAGCCTCGGGGACCCGGAGCCCGCCGCCTGCCTGCCGCCCTCGCCGCGCCGGCCGGGATCCATTTTAGGCTGCGGCGCTCCTGCCTGACATTGCGAGGCCGGGAGCCGGGCCGGGGCGGGGCGCGGGGGAGCGTCAGTCCCGCTCCCGGCGGGGAAGTTCCAGGCGCGCGGCCCGGGCCCGGGTCTCTTAATGAAACGCCGCTGCGCGAGCCTGGAGCTCAGGGGCAGCGCGAGCGAGCGCGGCGGGACGGAAACGCGGCGCCCGAGCCTCCCCCGCCCGCAGGTTCTTTCTCTTCCTGACAAGGCTTGCAGGTCTGCCTTTGAAACGCCGTGTGAAAGGGATTGAGTCACAAACAAGTCCACAAACACGCCGGGTCCTCCCCCCGCCCTTTGTTCTCGGAGACTTGCCCTGCAAACCTTTTCTGGAATTGTCCTGCCAACCCCCGGGGGGCCGGGGGCCAGCCTCCCCGACGCAGCCGGAGCACTAGGGGCCTCCGCCCCCCGCCCGCCCGAGCCCGGGTCTGTGTGGACTAAGCCGCCCGGGGTCGGGACAGGTGAGCCTGGGGACCCAGCGGGCCGGGGCTGGGCAAGGGAAACAGGGGTTCGCCGCGCTGCAAGCGGACGACTCCGGCCTGGAGAGGGGGTGTGGCGCGGCCTGGCCTTGGCCTCTCCTGGCGGGGGATCGGTCCCCTCGCCCCCGCCGCCCGTTTCTTCCTGCGCCTGGGCCTCGCGGGGTCTCCGGAGCACCCCGTCCTCGCTCCCTCTCCGATCGCCCCCCACAATCCCCCCAGCGCAGCGCCCCGGAGCGCAGGAAGCCGGCGTTTGCCAGGCTCCACACGTGGCTGCTCTGGGTGTCATTTTTCATTTCCCGGGAGGACATTTCTTCTGGTGAGCCAGCAGGTCTGTTTTGTTGTGACCTTTAATTAACACCCCGCGAGACGCCTCTGGAAGGACCGGCCCGGCGCGGGGATCACGTGGGGTGTAATGGCATCTGCGCGCCCGCGGGGAGACCCAGCCGGGGGGTGGGCGAGGGCGCAAGGGACGCTTAGGGATTTCTGGTCGCTGGCTTCTTCCGGAGCTGGGACGAGGCCGGAGGGGGCAGGAAGACAAAGGTTCGGGGTTCTGGGAGCCTGGGGCAACGCCCCCACTCGGCCTTCCTCGAGGAAAATTTCTTCGGTGCCTCCCAGGCTCTGTCCCCTCCTCCCCCGAGCCAGCTTTTGCGTGGGAATATTCCACAGCCACCAAAGCGAGGTAAAAAGGTCAAAATGAAGATGTCAGGAACAGAGTGGAAGTTTCCATGACGTTTCCACTTCCAGTGTAAAAGCGATCGTTCCGTAGGGGACCTTAGGGGGCAGGTAACGCCTCCAGGCAGCGCGCGCCGGCCCCACCCGCATCTGCATTCCGCCAAGGTGCCTCGGACACGTCTTCGCCATTGGCCACGCGCAGCGTGTGGCCAGGTGACACGGACCAGCCGGCGAGGCCGCGGGTGGGGAAGGTGGGGTGTCGAGGGGGAGTATAGGGGAGCCGCGCGATCCACCTTGGAGACCAGCAGCCGCAAGCTGGTCAGATTTGCATCTCTAAGGAGCTGTGGGCCCAAAGCGTGTTTCATGGGCTCCGAGCGCCCTCTGTTGATCAAAGTTTATAACCGGAGGCGCTTCAGGAGTTTTTAATCCGCTTTCAAACATTGGTGTTTGTGTAAAATGCATATGCAGAAAATGAAATGCACACATTTTATCTGTACAGTTCTGCGAATTTTGATAAATGGGCACTCTGCGTTGGCCATCACCTCAATAAATATATATACATCCCTGTCCCTCCTGAAAGTTGTATGCCTTTTCCCAGGCAATCCCCACCTCTTGTAAGAAACTACTGTTCTGATTTCTATCACCATGGATTAGTGTTGACTGTTCTTGAGGGTTTAATTCATAGAATCCGTCCGGCATGTACTCTTTTGGGTTTGGCTTTTTTCGCTTAACACAGGTTTTTGAGTTTCAGGTTGTTGCTAGTATAGGTCTGTTTTCTGTCTGTATTCTATGTCATCCTTCTGTCTCTCATGCCTTTTTTTTTGTTAATATAATAACTTCAGTATTTCAATTTCACTGCTTTGTTGACTTTTTATCTCTGGTGATTATAATGCAGGTTTTTTTGGTTTTTTGTCTGTTGCTTGGGCTGGAGTGTAGTGGCGCTATTATAGCTCAGGGCAGCCTCCATCTCCTGGGCTCAAATAATCCTCTCTCCTCAGCCTCCCTAGTAGCTGGGACTACAGGTGCATACCACCACACCTGGCTACTTTTTGTTGTTGTTGTTTGTTTGTTTTTTGTTTTGAGACAGAGTCTTGCTCTGTCACCAGGCTGCAGTGCATTGGCATGATCTCAGCTCACTGCAACCTCTGCCTCCTGAGTTCAAGCAATTCTCCTGCCTCAGCCTCCCGAGTAGCTGGGATTACAGATGCATTCCACCACGCCCAGCTAATTTTTGTATTTTTAGTAGAGACGAGGTTTCACCATGTTGGCCAGGATGGTCTCGATCTCTTGACCTCGTGATCCACCTGCCTCGTCCTCCCAAAGATTACAGGCGTGAGCCACCGTGCCCATCGCCTCCTGACCACGCCCCCAACCGCAACTTTTTTAAGTAGAAACGAGATCGCCCTATGTTGCCCATGCTGATCTCAAACTCCTGAGCTCAATCCATCTTCCCTTTTCCACCTTCCAAAGTGCTGGGATTATGGCATGAAACCCATATCCGGCCTATAATATGAATCGTTAACATTTCATACGCTACTTGGACTTACCATTGTGCCCCTTCACCTAAAATGTGGACTTGGAGCCACTCCGTCTTACCTTCCTCTTTTGTGCCACTAATTGGATATATGTTACACCTACATGCATTATAAAACCCACAATACAATCTTATCAATTTTACTTTAAACAATCTGCTGTCTTTCAGTGAAACTGGAAAATTTTAAGTCTTGATATCTACCCAGTTTTATCATTTCTGGGACTCTAATTTTTCCCTTTAGAGCCAAGTTTATAGTAATTTGACTATAATATTCCTAGATGTGTTACTTTTTATGTTTATCCTGCTTAGGGTTTGGTGAATTTCTACGACCTATAAATTGATCTGTAATTTTTTTAAACAAATTTGGGAGATTTTCAGCCACTACTCATTCAGATATATTTTTTCTGCCCTGTTCTCTCTTTTTCCTCTCGTCTGGGACACCAATTACATGTTTGTTATTACAGTGCTTGATATTGCCTTCAGGTCATTGAAACTATGTTCGTTACTTCCATTTTTCCCTCTTTACAGACTGAATAATTTTTACCGTTCCTTTATTAAGCTCACTAACCTTTGCTTCCGCTGCCTCCAACCTGCTGCTCAGCTGATGCAGTTGATCCAAATGTTGTGTGTGTACCTGTGTGCACATTCCCCCTTCTCTTTTTCTTCGCCCTTTAAATCCTTGAACGTAGTTATAGTACCTTATTTAAAGTTCTTGTCTGAGTTTCAACTTCTGACTCATTTGAGGGCCACTTTCTATTAACTGATGTTTCTGCTGACTCTGAATTACATTTTCCTGTTTCTTTTCATATTCAATAAATTTTAACTGTATATTGAATATTGTAGATGCTACATCATAGAGATGCTAGATTCTATTCTCTTCCTTGAGGAGTATTGATTTTTGTTCTAGCAGGCAGTTAAGTTACTGATGGGTCACCTTGAATTTGAGGAGGCTTGGTTTTATGCTTGCTTTGAGTGGTTCTAACTCGTTTTCACCCTTAGGTCTAAGAAGAATCCCTTTGTCCTGGGATTGTTCTTCACCCATGAGGCATGGGCCTTTAGCATTTCGATGGAAAGCCCAGCTGCTCTGCCAGTCCCTCAGACACCACGTTCTGCTCCCGCACACTTGACCACAGTTGAAATCTCTGCTCAACTCTTTCGCCATGCAGCTGCTGCTTTCTGTATGTTCCGAGTTCAAATTTATCAGCTGGATTTGAGGGGAATTTTGGTGAATTTCAGGGCTGCCTCAATGGCTCTCTCCTTCCCTGGATTCTTCTTCCGCCTCTCCAGCTACTCTGACAGCCCTGAACTTCACCATGGAATGCCCCAAACCCGCACGACTGGCCTTCTTCTTTGAGCTAGCCACGGCGCTCAGCAGACTAGAAGAAGGGCTGTACAACCCTAATTTTAAGAATTAGATCTTCAGGCCCCGGTATCCCATGCTTCTGGTCATTCTTCAGGGCCCCTAAATAGGTCTGTCATTGTTGTCCAGTTTATGGGTTTTCTCTGAAATTCAATGTTGTACATAAGCTGCTCCCTCATTCTAGTTTTAATGATGGCTTTTTCAAATCTACCTTGGGCTTTTGGAAATTTTGTAGTTTCAAAGGTTTTCTTTCTGGGAGTTAGCCTGTAGTTACCCTTTTATTTTCTGTTAGACTGAGGACTTTCAATGTTTGCCACTGAAACCTTTACTCATAGATAAATGATATAGATTATAAATATACATGTATTTCTTCTTCACATTTGAGGATGTTAACAGTATTACTTCAAAAAAGACACTCATTTTAAGAATGAAAGAATTAGGCTGGGCGCGGTGGCTCACGCCTGTAATCCCAGCACTTTGGGAGGCCGAGGCGGGTGGATCACAAGGTCAAGAGATCGAGACCATCCAGGTCAACATGGTGAAACCCCGTCTCTACTAAAAATACAAAAAATTAGCTGGGCATGGTGGTGCGTGCCTGTAATCCCAGCTACTCAGGAGGCTGAGGCAGGAGAATTGCCTGAACCCAGGAGGCGGAGGTTGCGGTGAGCCGAGATCGCGCCATTGCACTCCAGCCTGGGTAACAAGAGGGAAACTCCGTCTCAAAAAAAAAAAAAAAAGAATGAAAGAATTGTATACTGGTTTATAAAAGCCAAGAGCTTTTCTTTCTTTCTTTTTTTTTTTTTTTTCTTGAGATGAAGTCTCACTCTGCTGCCCGGCTGGAGTGCAGTGGCAAGATCTCAGCTCACTGCAACCTCCACCTCCCATGCTCAAGCGATTCTTGTGCCTCAGTCTCCTGAGTAGCTGGGACTAAAGGCACACACCACCACGCCTGGCTAATTTTCTTAATTTTTAGTAGAGATGGGGTTTCACCATGTTGTCCAGGCTGGTCTTGAACTCCTGACCTCAAGTGATCAGCCCGCCTTGGCATTCCAAAGTGCTGGGATTACAGGCATGAGCCACCGTACCCAGCTGCCAAGAGCGTCTATGAACATCAGTTTATTGATTCCATTGATGTCCCTGGGTGAAAAACATATCTTTCTGGTGTATCCATGAGTACAAAGTGCAAAGAAAGCTAAAGTCCACTACCTGGCTAAGAATGAAATTCTTATTCCATATTCCTTGTTGCTTAAATTATTAAATGGACATAACTTCTTTGGGAACGCCTCATGGGACTTATATTTCAGAGAATGCAATTTAGCTTTCCCATTATTTATACCTCAGCAACGAATAGCTCATAAATTTTATAGCTAAAATATATTATGTCATTGTATTTTTGAAAGCCTGAAAGTATAAGTCAGAAAAAAAAACCAGCCAGGTGCGGTAGCTCATACCTGTAATCCCAGCACTTTGGGAGGCCAAGGCAGGTGGACTGCTTGAGCCCAGGAGTTCAAGACCAGCCTAGGCAATATAGTAAGACCTCATCTTTATAAAAAAATCCAAAAAAAAAAAAAAAAAAGTTGGGTGTGGTGGCACATGCCTCTAGTCCCAGGTACTTGAGAGGCTGAGGGGAGGATCACTTGAACCCAGGAGGCAGAGGTTGCAGTGAGCCAAGATTGCGTCACTGAACTCCAGCCTGGGCAACACAGTGAGACTGTTTCAAAAAAAAAAAAAAAGGCTGGCAACTTCTAATTGCTAAGCTGAATGCACAATATAGCAGATTTGACTTCTCTTTAATATTTTGTTTTTGAACTAATTTCCGCATCAGTTCAGGCACCAGCATGCCGATGGAGCCAGCGGAGCGCATGTGCTGGAGGAGGCTGCATTTCTCCTTGAAGGATAATGAAAGCAGCTGACACTGGCCATGTGGTATCTTGATGAATTATGCAGACAGTATTTGCATATGATCTTCTGGTGTTCTGAGGACCATATGATCATGTGGGGCCACCAGAGAGTCAACAGCAAGCTGACAACGTGAATCTGTGTGCTTGGTCATTATTCTGGTGTAAGAAGTGGGTCGTTATCCTGCAAGCTGATAAAGGGTTTCTACTCCTGAAATATTTCAGTCATTAGTATCTTATCCTTATAAATTCCTTCCATGCTAAATTCCAAGCCTCGATTTCAGTCTGAAATTGACAGTTCAGATGATAAAGGTATATAGAGAGAAAGGGTATGAACCAAATTTGTGTAGTCAGAGTGATAAATTATTTTTTGGTTGTTAATTTTATTTTGTTTTGAGGTCGGGGGAGAAAGACTAAAAAGACTTAAAAAGACTTTAAGAAGATTAAAAAGAGTGACGAGGATCAGACCAGGTGTGCTCAGCCCACTGACCTTGGGCTCCAGAGGCTCACACCTGGGGCTGTGCTGCCGCACACAGAAGTAACCTGCTTTGAAAAGGAATCACGGCATCCAGTGTAGCACTGTTTACAACAGCGAAGAGGGGAAAACAGCCGACACACGCCACAGTGGGGATGGGTTTAATAACTCACAGTCTAAGCCAGGCACAGGGGCACACGCCTGTGGTCCCAGCTACTCAGGAGGCTGAGGCTGGAGGTTTTGAACCCAGGAGTTTGAGGCTGCAGTGAGCCATGACTGCGCCACTGTACTCCAGTCTGGCCAACACAGTGAGACCCCATTTCTTAAATAAACAAACAACTTACAGTCTAGTCGGACAGTGGAATACCCTGCAGCCCTTACAAATGCTCATAAAAGAACAATGGAATGCAAAGAAATTGATTATATATTCATGTCAAGCAAAAAGGTAAAGTACATGCAATATAATAATTCAGTAAAACCAAAACAAAATTATATATGTATCAGGAAGAAAAGATTAACACCAAAATATTAAAAGCATAACCATTCTTTGGGGGAGTTGCTAGTTCTATGTTTTCTTTTTACTTTTTTTTTTTTTTTTTTTTTTTGACAGGATCTCACTCTGTTGTCCAGGCTGGAGTGCAGTGGCACAGTCATAGCTCACTATATCCTTGAACTCCTGGGCTCAGGTGATCCTCCTGCTCCAGCCTCCCAAGCAGCTGGCAACCTGTAACTGCTGGAGTACAGGCACACACCACCATGCCTGGCGAATTGTTTTGTTTAATACAGACAGCATCTTGCTATGTTGCCCAGGACAGTCTGAAACAGTCTCCAGTGATCCTCCTCCCGCCTCAGCCTACCAAGGTGCTGGGATTACAGGCATCAGCCACCAGGACCAGCCTCTAATTCTGTTTTCTAAGACAAATTTAGTGTTACTGTAATCTTTAAAAGGAAACTAAAGCAAGTTTCAATTTGTCAGAAAGGAATCATAAGAAACCAGAGGGTAAAGGATGTGTATGCCCACAAGGCACCCAGATACACACACACACACACACACACACACACACACAGAGCTGCATGCCTAGCCAAAGCCAGGATACAAAAAAGCAGGCTGGGTGCTCTGTCTCTCACCTGTAATCCCAGCACTTTGGAAGGCCAAGGCAGGAGGATCACTTGAGGTCAGGAGTTGGAGACCAGCCTGGCCAACATGGTGAAACTCTGTCTCCACTAGAAATACAAAAATTAGCCAGGTGTGGTGTCATGCTTCTGTAGTCCCAGCTACTTGGGAGGCTGAGGCAGGAGAATCACTTGACCCCCAGAGGCGGAGGCTGCAGTGAGCCGAGATTGTGCCACTGCACTCCAGCCTGGGCAACACAGTGAGAGGGGCCAGGAGTTCAAGGTTACGGTGAGCTACGTTTGCAGCACTGTGCTCCCTGAGCAACAGATAGAAACCCTGTGTCTGTCTGTCTGTCTGTCTCTCTCTCTCTCTTTCAACGGCAAAGCCAGGGAAAGTGCCACGGAAAAACACCCTTCCTTGGTCCCAAGTGGGAACCACACGCCACTTAGGACTGAGGTGGAAGGTGTGGGTGGCAGGCGGGGCAGGAAAAGGTAAAAGGTTGCGAGAGTCCAGGACTTCGAATAAAACAAAACTGGGCCTAGAGGAGGGTGGGGGATTGGGGGAGGGAGAGGATCAGAAAGAATAACTACAGGGTACCAGGCTTAGTACCTGGGTGACAAAATAGTCTGTACAGCAAACCCTAGTGACACAAGTTCACCTGTATAACAAACCAAAAATAAAAGTTAAAAAAAAAAGAACTACCTGTATGATTGATGACTGCTGCAATGAATTTATAAGAAAACTAGGCTAGCACATCATTCTCTTGGGAGGATGCTGGAAACATCTTTATTTAAAATTTTTAAAACAGCACTCAGATTACAGGCAGGAGAATTGTTTAAGCCCAGGAGGTCGAGACCAGCCTGGACAACACAGTGAAAACCCTGTCTCAACAAAACTAAAAAATTAGCCAGGTATGGTGGCGTGTGCCTGTAGTCCCAACTACTTGGGAGGCTGAGGTGGGAGGATCATTTGAGCCCAGGAGGTCGAGGCTGCAGTGACCCATGCTGCACCACTGTACTCCAGCCTGGACAAGAGAGTGAGACCCTGTCTCAAAAAAAAAAGGAGGCAAGAGGGCCTTACAATTCTATAATTAGAAAATAACCTAATCAAAAATAGGTGAGACATGGACAGATATTTCATCAAAGAAGCTCTGTGTGTGGCTAAGGGGCACACAAAACACGGCTCCACATCATTAGTCATTAGAGAAATGAAATTTTAAAAAACTAGGCCAAATGCGGTGACTCACGCCTGTAATCCCAGCCCTTTGGGAGGCCAAGGCTGGCAGATCATGAGGTCAGGAGCTCAAGACCAGCCTGGCCAACACGGTGAAATCCCGTCTCTATTAAAAATACAAAAAAAATTAGCCAGGCATGGAGGCGCATGCTTGTAATCCCAGCTACTCAGGAGGCTGAGGCAGGAGAATCACTTGAACTCGGGATGCAGAGGTTGCAGTGAGCCGAGATCACACCATTGCACTCCAGCCAGGGCAACAAGAGTGAGTCTCCCTTTCAAAAAAAAAAAAAAACCCAAGGACACCACTTCATACCCACTAGAATGACTATAGTCAGGAAGACAGGCAGGACAACGCTGCTGAGGATGTGGAGAAATGGCAGCCCTTGTGGGTTGCTGGTGGGAACATAGCAAGGTGCAGCTGCGTTGGAAAAGTTTGGCAGTTTCTCAAAAAGTTAAATATAAAATCACCATACTGCCCATCAGCTTCATTCCTAGGTATCTATCCCAAGAGAAATGAAAACATACATTCACATTCACACAAAGACTTGCACACAAAAGTTCATCGTGGCATTATTTACAAAGAGCCAAAAAGTGGAGAAACGTCCCTCAGCTGATGCATGGATAGACAAAATGTGGTATATCCATACAATGGAGTATTACTGGGCAATAAAAAGGAATGAAATACTGATACATGCCGCAATTCAAATGAATCTCAAGAGCCTTATGCCAAGTGAAAGGAACCAGGCATGAGAGATCATATATTGTATGATTTCATCTACATGAAATTTTCAGAAGGCAAATCTGTAGAGACAGAAAGTAGCTTAGTGGTTACCTAGAACTGGGGACAGGAACAGGGATTGACTGGACATGAGCTTTCTTCACTGGGATGATGAAAATGTTCTGAGACTGATATATATCAATGGCTGCACCACTCAGTAAATTTACCAAAAAATATTGAACTGTGCACTTGAATAGGGTGGGTTTTATCATATGTAACGTATGTTGATAATGCTGTTTTTAGGAAGTGATGGGAGAGGTAAAGAAGGGGATGGAAATTAGGGATCAATTTCAGAGCTGTCGGCACTCAATCGCCTGGGCTGGGAGACTAAACTCATGCGCAGAGAGCGTCAGGGTGATGTTCAGGCATATGAGCTGAGCAAGAGAGATGAAGTAGCATTTCCAACAACAAGAAAAGTGGGATGAAGGTGATGTATTTGATTTAGAAAAGAGATGGACACAAGGCCGGGCGTGGTGGCTCACACCTGTAATCCCAGCACTTTGGGAGGCCAACGCAGGTGGATCACGAGGTCAGGAGGTTAAGACTGGCCTGGTCAACGTGGTGGAACCCTGTCTCTACTAAAAATACAAAAATTAGCTGGTTGTGGTGGTGAGTGCCTATAATCCCAGCTACTCAGGAGGCTGAAGCAGAGAATTGCTTGAACTTGGGAGATGGAGGTTGCAGTGAGCCGAGATCATGCCACTGCACTCCAGCCTGGGCAACAGAGCCAGACTCTGTCACGAAAAAAAAAAGAGAAGAAACGAAAAGAGATGGACACAATACACTGTGGAATACTATGCAGCCATAAAAAAGAATAAGTTCATGTCCTCTGCAGGGACATGGATGAAGCTGGATCATTCTCAGCAAACTAACACAGGAACAGAAAACCAAACACCATATGTCCTCACTTATAAGTGGGAGTTGAACAATGAGAACACATGGAGACAGGGAGGGTAACATCACATACCAGGGCCTGCTGGGGATTGGGGGGCAAGGGGAGGGAGAGCATTAAGACAAATACCTAATATATATGGGGCTTAAAACCCAGATGACAGGTTGATAGGTGGAGCAAACCACCATGGCACACGTATACCTATGTAACAAACCTGCACGTTCTGCACATGTATCCCAGAACTTAAATTTTTTTAAGAAATACATTAAAAAAAAAAAAAAAAAAAAAAACAAAGATACGGCCACAGTAATCCAAGTGTCTTTTCCCTCTGAAGCAAAAGCCCCAGCGAGACAGGTAACCTGTGTGCCCCCTTCAGGAATCCCAGCATGTCCAGCCAGAGTCCCCATGGGGTGTCGCTTCATGTCGTCTTGGGAGAGGGAACCCCAGCACTGGGAAGATCATCAAAAGACACTGGCTGATTGCTGTCGGGAATACAAGAGCCATTGAAGAAAATGAACTGAGAGTGTGTGCTTCATTTAAACACAAAAAGTTGTGATATTAAGAACTCTGTAAGGAACTGCCGCAACAAGGTCACTGTGGGTTGTCTTCGCCTAAGCCATGTAAGCCGCAGCAGGTGCAGGCGGACTGGGAGCAGCTGTGGGAGTGATGGCCGCCACAGTCAGCCATGAGGGTGGTGGGCAGAGAAGTGTACACAGCCCAGAGAAGAGCTTCAAAGACCGTGCTGGAGACTACGGAAGCCACCTGAGGACCTGCTCGGGGAAGGGAGGGACTTGCTGGGGTGTGGGATTCCGGGGTTCCTCCAATGAGGGCTTGGAATCAAGACCCATTTTTCTAAGCAGTGCTGTTGTTGCCCCCTACCCTTGACTTATCTCACAGCTGTGTGCTGCCTGAGGCTGGGGACCAGCAGGGAATTGCTAATGCCTCCACCGTCACTGCTGCAAATTTGCCACCTCCCCTTTAATTTCACCAGGATCTGCCTTCATGTCTCCATCACACAAGGAAGTTCTCTCAATTCTAAATGCTCACTAGAAAATCAGCAGTTCTGATCTCCTCACACAGGGTTCATTCAGCTTATGAGTTGGAAATGCAGTGTATCTGGATGGATGGATGGATGGATGGATAAGATGGATGGGATGGATGGATGGGATAGATGGATGGATGGGA